CCCACCCGCACCCCCAGTGACTTTTGCAACAGTATGAAATCAGCATGTCGTTGCGGGTTGTTTCAATAGGTGAGTTATGGGATCTACTTCGGGAGCTCCCTCTGGGATGACGACATGAATGGATCTGAGGTTCCTGTGCTGGTTGAAGTCTTCCTAGACGAACTGAGGGATGTGGAGGCTTGATTCAGTGGATGACACCATCGGTTCTGATGACGTCGTCGGGTCGAATGATTTTGGCCGAGACGACGGTGGTTCTAAGTATTTCATGTTGTGGGGGCTGCGATGTTTCAGGTGACCTTCACGCGAAAACCCAGCTCTACAGCTGTAATGGTTTTTTCCCCAGTTCGGGCAGGTCATGAGTTGGGTTGGGTCAAGATGATGTGGCGGGTAGGATTTTACGTTTTTGGGTTAAAATATGATGACTGGACATTTCTGTTAGCCACGTCAGCATAAAATTGACGTCGTTAACGAAGGCTAACAGAGACTAAAGGAGAATGACCAAACATAACATGTTTTGGTAAATTTAGTGACCACGAATTGAATTAAATATTTGTAGTGACTAAACATGAACATTTTGGGGGGTTTGATCTGAAAATGGTAGGAAGAGATGGCGTCGATTTTGTTTCTGAATTTTTTGGGTTTATGTTTTATGGGCAGAAAAGAGGCCGTCAAGATTTGAGGCAAAAACTACTTTTCACGGCAGCTGCCGATAGTGGGGGACTGGGGAGGTCGTCGGGAGAGAAGGAGAGAACGAAGAGTGATGAGGGGACTAGGGTTGAGCACTTAATTGTTTGTTGTTTGGGTTATGGAAGGCTTCAATCCTAGTGATTGCAGAAGAGGAAGCTTCTGGTAGGAAGTATTGTTGAAGATGAATAGGTGGTGGTGGGGAGAAAGACATTTATATTTTTTATTGTTTTTATGATTTTTTAATTTAATTTGATAAAAAATATAAGTATAAAAGTTTAATTATTTTCCACCTAACATTATATTTTAATAAAATATGCCACGCCAACCACTGCTGTTAGTCCAGTCAGCACGTTAACTAACACCGTCAAACAATTGGACGGAAATAGCTATTTTTGGTATTTCGCCAAAAGTGGCTATATTTGGCAAAACCGTCAAAGTTTTGGCTGTACAAGTGTATTTGGCCTTTTAGTAATCTCAGTAACCAACTGTGCATTTTACCCATATAACTAGGGATGTAACTAGAACAAAAAAGAAACCCAACAATCTCCTCAAAACAATATCATCAATTACAAATTTTAGAACATATATTAAAATGAGTGATAGTTTCCATCATATCAACAAAACAATGAGTGTATTGTTTAAGTAAATAAACCAAAAAAATGATACATTGTTAACAATGCACGCATTGTTACAATCTCAACTAAACTATCACCAAAACCAAACGACTACTTAGAAAGTTCCAGGTTTGAGATAGGCTTGGTAATCGGTTGGTAACTGGTTAACCAGTTACCGACCGACCCGATTTTCGATATATCGTTTAAAAGGAAGGGAATGTCGAATACCGATATCGATTTTTAACCGGTTAACCGGTTACCGAATACCCGGTTAATAGTTACAAACTAGTATACCAAATTACCGTGACATAAGGGAAAAACGCTGGCGACTGGGAAGAGGAAGGGGGGCGAAGTAGCAGAGGCTAAAACAGCTGGACAAGGGAGGCGGCTCACACTTGCGGAGCGACGAACAGGGCACGCCGGCATGCACAGGGAAGGCTGAATCGAGGCAGATCTCGGAGATTCGCGGCGGCCGGCGGAGATGGGAAGCGCACGACGGCGAAAGGGGAAATTGTTAACATTGCACGCGTTGCTTCTGCTCTCGCCGACGGTATCGATTTCACCGATTAACCGTCTATATTAATCAGTATTAGATCAGGTATACCGAAGCCCCCTTAAACGCCTCTGATTATCGACACCGACCAGTTATCGGTTAATCGGTAACCGCCAGTTACCGGTACAGTTATCGGTTTACCAACTGTCAGCCCTATTTTGAGATTCCGCAATGAAAGTATAGATTTTCACACTTATATTTGTAATGAAAATTCTCAAACAACAATTAATTGAACACTGATGTTACCAAGCCATGGCAGGTGGGGGAGGCAACAACAGGTCGATACAATTCTACAGATCAACCGAATCACCGGTCGCTAGCTCTAGTCGATGTTTGGTTATGGCTTAGCCGTCTCTCTCGAGTTCTGGGCTCTCCTCCGGCCGCCGTCTCCCAAGGTTTACGGTAAGGCTGACGGTTCTGTTATAAACGCGCTGCTACGGATCAGGAAATCGCTGGAATCGACAAAGCAAGAATACGAAAGCGAGAATAAAAAACACGACACACGATTTACGTGGTTCACTAATACGATGTGTGTTAGCTACGTCCACGGGCGAGAGAGAGTCAATTTCACTATATCGAGGAGATTACAGATTATAGAGGAGTATGAGAAGTATTTATAGTACTTCGCCATGTGGGTCTAAACCTAATCCAATCTGGCGAAGGAAACGGTTACAGACCAGGCACAGAACCCGAACCCAAATAACATTGAGCTCATACACCGCGGGCCGGGGTCGTTGTCCCCGCATCCCCACGGGGGCGTTGCCCCTGGACCCCACTCGCTGACCGGGCAGCGAGACCCCCAACTAAACCAGTCGTAGCGGCTGATAGTCCGATTCAAGTCACATCAACAGGTCCCCTAATCACGCCGGCACATATTATGGGTTCTCCTAAATTTCACATTACATGAATTTCATTAGAGGCAAGTATCATACTCACACTTTTTAAATGATTTAATGACCTTCCAAATTATTTTTAATTACCTTCCTTTTGATTCTCTATGTTTTTATAGCTTCTATTAGTATTTAGTACTTCCCCAATCACCGCATCGGGTAAGAAAAATAAAATTATTCAATCATTTGTTTCCCTATATGTATTTGAGACCCATTTTATTATTCAGAGTACCAATTAATGTCTCTTATTAATTTTTTGGCAACACTTTTATGTGTCTAGCCAGTTTCTTTTATCTAGTCCAGATTTTTAGGATGCATTTTCTCTTTTTTTTTTTAATTTTTTTTGAAGATTTACTTTATAAGGTAATTTGAGTATTTGATTATCCTCATTTGTAGACATCTTCACTTATTTTTATTTAATTTAAATTTATGATATTAAATTCAGATTGTTGTGAGACTTTCCTTCCTGTTGAAATACCTTTTATTTTATCTATCGATACGTCAAATCATCGTCATTCATATTAGAATCTTTTAGTTACCTTCATTATTTAAAAATTCATTTATTTTCTGTTATTTAAGGGGACTATCATTTATTTTGAATTTTTATATTATTTATTTTTATAATATATTTACTCTTAATTGTTGAATCACATCTTTGATGTAGTATATTCGGTATTTCCGACTTTGTCTCAAAGGTAGGCTTTTATCTCTTTGGATAGAGATTTCTACACTTTAGTGGATCCCTTTCGGATTGATCGGGTTAGAGGAAAACATGAAGTAAGTGCAATCGACCCCATCAGTCTATCAGTTAATGCCTTTAGCACTTTTATATTTTCATGGTATTAATGAGGCCTATTAAATGGTGACTTGCTCATAATTTCTTGATTTTTTTTAAGGAAATTATCAACGGGTCATCAGAACACTACACACTCTCGAGCATTAGCAGTCTTGGAGGAAGTGCACCCCTTTTTTTCTTTTCTTGAGTTAGTGTCGTGTCATTTTGCTCATCAGAACTTTAACATAGTTGCTCGTATAGTGGCTATAACAGACTCTTTCATCAGAAATCCGCTTGCTTACGGATTACCGCCTTTATTTTGGAGTCCTTCACGTATCTAAGTTACCTCTTTGTCCCATGCATTTTGTGCTTGCGTTGGAAAAAAAGACCTCTTAGGGGTCGTTTGGTTTTGGTGATTGTTTGATTGAGATAGTTACAATGCATGTATTGTCCACAATGCGTTGTTTTTTTTTTCATTTCCTGCACAAACAATGCATGCATTGTTTGCTTGATGTGATGATACTAAAACTTGAGATTGTTTGATTCCCTTTTTGTTGCAAGTATACCCCTAGTTACATATATATATGGTCTCATAATTAAAGCAAGTGCAAAAGTGATCTTTCTCACAAAAGGTAATTAACATGTTGAATACTAAAAAAACTATCACCAAAACCAAACAATGTAAAGTAAATTACATCATTTCCCTAAACTGCATGTATATTATAATTGTTGGAGCCCTCTCAATCCACCCACACTCCTTCCGTACCGTGCCCTCACCTTCGTGGATCTACTTGCACACACAGAGGTGGGCCTTGTGGCCCGTTAGTCCTCCAACGCTCAAGTTAGTCTTTTTCTTAGTGATAGAAGTGCTTGTTACGCAGGATTTTAGTGAGAGAAGCCAAATTGAGTAAATGCTTACCAACCTCGCTATTTATAACTGTTCATCGCTTACCTGGATCTCTTCGTACGGATTTCCACGTCACCACCGCATTTAATGCAAGTGATTCTAGGCGCCCTCTTTGGGCGCTCATAACTGCCAGGCGCATACCGGGGCGCCTAACGTGCACTTACTCACATCTCCACCTCATCAGGTGCTCGGGTCGACTTGCTTTCCTGACTTAAACCCATGGGCGTCGGTCATAGCCCACTCCGTTTTCCTAAACCCACCTCAGGGCCCCAAATAAGCTCCGCCTGTTCTCGGGCTACTTATATCCTGTCCCTCTTACTGGGCTTCACCTAGGCATCAAGACCCTCACATATGAACACCCCAACAATAATGCACTGATTTAATGATTATTAAAAAAATAAAATAATGTATTGATTTAAAAATCACCAAAATCAAACCACCCTTTAGAAACCCAACTTCTACCTTGGTTGAAATAATTTGCCGTGAAAATTAACCGGTTACCGTGCCGGTTACGCGTGAATTTTCAAGAAGGAAAAAGAGAAGAAAACGAAATTGTCTTTTTCCCTTCGATATTCCCCATTTCTACTACTTCTCCTCCTCCTCCTCCCCATTCTCCTTCCTCCACTTAATCGGCTCCATACTCTCTCGATCGCTGCTTTAAACAATTGAAGTTCCTTTCTGAATCCAATACCAGATTTTGGATCTCAGATCCATCTTCAAGGTTCTAATCTCCTCGCCGGCACTTTTTTCCTCTGCTCTTTTTCCTCGTCGGAAACTGTCGTGCTTTCCACTGACTTTGGGGCTTGTTTGGATCGATTGTTTTCGATGAACTTGCTCGTGTTTGTTCTTGTTCCTTTTCCCGCTTGATCTTCTGCTCTTTGTTTTTGTCAGAAGAATTTAGATGCCGTAGTAGAGTATGCTTTCGTTTTTGCTGCATCCATTTACGTGTGGAATCTTTATCCTTCACTGTTCTGCGGCGGCATTGGTTCCATTTCGTTTCCAGTCGCTTAAACCCTAGCAATTTACTCGCTGCTCTCGTTGTGTCTCGTCTTGATCGCATAAGCGTGCCTGTACCTATGACTATAAGTTCCTTTGAAGTTTTCAATTTCCACTGCAGTGGTGAGACTTTCAGCGAGTGACAGAAACTCTGTGGTTGTTGTGTGTTCAGTTTGACTATGGAGAGCTTGGCGCAACTGGAAGAGCTATGTGATAAGCTGTACAATTCAAGGGACTCCGCTGAGCGCGCCCATGCTGAGAACACCCTGAAAATATTCTCAGTCAACATTGATTACATTTCTCAATGCCAGTATATTCTGGACAATGCCTTATCGTCATACGCGTTGATGCTTGCCAGTACGAGTTTGATGAATCAAATCACCGAGCACAGCCTCTCTTTGCAGCTTCGTCTTGACATCAGTGGGTCATTTTTTCTTGTGTTCTATTTTTCTTTCTCTTTCCCTCATATCTGCACATTATGGTGATATAGAGTTAATGCTTCTTCCATTCCTTATTGTGATGGCAGGGAATTATCTAGTTAACTATTTGGCCACCCGAGGACCGAATTTGGAGCATTACGTTATCTCGTCTCTAATTAGGCTCCTGTGTCGACTCACAAAATTTGGATGGTTTGATGACGATAGATTCAGAGAATTGGTTACGGAGTCCACAAGCTTCTTGAGCCAGGTCATGGTTCTCACCTTGGCAAAATATTTATATTCTTACGTAGCGACAAAGAGGTTTGTTTATGTGTGTAGCTTGAGATGATCTGCAGATAACTTTGGAATGTTATGAAAATCGTTAGGCTAATTTTGGGAAGATTGCAATTAATCTTTGATGCCTGTGGTGCCGAATGTTGCAAAACATTAATCACCGGATATTGTAATACCTTAAATATGTGGTAACGGTGTACAAAGTTCCGGCAATTCGAACTATGATGTCTTCATTATTTATAAGCCTACTACTATTGATAGATCATTAAAAAAAATCTCTTTGAAAATGTAAGTTTGCTCCTGAAATTAACATTTGTAAGGATCTCATATATAATACAAGATACACATGGTTATCTTTTTTGTATTGTGCATTAGTGTTTGTGAGCCATTTGCATAATACTGTGGCTGATGTATTAACCTCCATATACTTCTCAGCTGCTTACTACTCTTTTCCCCCTTTACTCAAGCAGGCAACTTCAGATCACTATGCTATTGGGTTGAAGATACTGAATCAACTAGTAACCGAGATGAATGTGGTTAGTCCCTTGTGTGCAATCTTAGCTCCTTCTCCTTAATGCATAGCAGTCCGCACTAGAGTTCTTCAATTAGATGTGACTAAGTGTTAGTATTTGGAATGTGACTGCTGTCTAGCTTTGCTTCCATCCACACATCATCTTATGCTTATTGACATAAACTTTTGTTTGATGGTAAAATATCAGAGCACTTCAGGTTTGCCATCAACTCATCATCGAAGAGTTGCTTGCTCATTTAGGGATCAATCACTGTTCCAAATATTCCAAATATCTCTAACATCTCTGCACCAACTGAAGAATGATGGTAATATGTTAATATTGTATTGTTTGTTTCACTTTCCCTTTTGAACTCTATCTGCCTCCCCCTCTAGTTTTGTTATATCCTTTTTCTTGTTTTTTTTTTTATTTTTTTTTATTTTTTTTTTTGCGATTGACATTCTGATCACTGGAGTTTTGTGGTTTTGCAGTTGTAAGCGAATTGCAAGAGCTAGCAGTTTCACTTTCGCTTCAATGCTTGTCTTTTGATTTTGTTGGGACGTCCAGCGATGAGAGCTCAGAAGAGTTTGGTACTGTCCAGGTGCCAATATTTCTTGTCTCATTCGTTATTTATTTTCTCGAGTATGATGAAACAATGATAATTATTGACTTGTTGCCCAATGGGCTGAAAAGTAACGCCTTGCCAATGATGTAGATTCCTTCATCTTGGAAGCCAGTTTTAGAAGATCCTTCGACATTGCAAATATTCTTCGATTACTATGGGATTATGATCACAAGGCCAAATCTTTCAAAGCAGGTAGGTTATACGTTTCTTTATCTATTCCTTTCCCCCCTTGCTTTTGATTCAATTTTCCTAGAATTTTATACCTTTTAGTCAGGCATTCACGCTTTATTAGAACTATCTTTTTAGTTTGATGAGGGTTTCTGGAATGTCTGAAACTTGACCTTGACATAAAGTTTTATTCTTAACAAGCTCGTACTTGCCTTTTAGGACCCCCTCTGATATTATGTAATGAATACATCAACTATTTGATTTTAAGACTCTTCCAGAGGAGGCATTGAATGGATTGGTGTTTTGAAGTATAAACTTAGAATTTGTTCTAGTACTCTTTCCTACAAAGCCAATTACTCCTTCTGCATTTGTATGTTCATGCCAGCTTGCTGCTGGGTTCAGTATCTGAAGGTTATTATAACATTTCCTTGCAGGCGCTGGATTGCTTGGTTCGGCTGGCTTCAGTTAGACGCTCTTTGTTCACGAATGATGCTGCCCGTTCTAGGTTCTTGGCACATTTAATGACAGGAACTAAGGAAATCTTACAAACAGGGAAAGGTAACTTTGGCGTAACGTGCCACCTTTCATTCTGTTAAGTCATTTATCAGCATATGTTTTACCAGGTCTTTTTGTCTATTCTCTATTTATGTACAGTTTTGTCATTGAAATAGAAAAAAAGACAGGTCTTCCTCTAATGGCAGATCCATATAATAATTATCTGTTATTGTTTTATGTCCAATGGGTTTGCTTGCATGTAGTATGTCACTTGTTAAGTACTGACTGGTGCTCAATGGTGAACAGGCCTTTCTGAACATGACAATTACCATGAATATTGTCGCCTTCTTGGGCGGTTCAAAGTAAATTATCAGGTTGGTTATGGGTAGTTTTTTATGAGACTGGATGCTCATTTCTCTTTACGGTTCATGCTCTCTTCCACTACTATGCTTTATTGGCATGCAATGACCAGCTTCATGCTTTCACATGTACCGCCCTTCTCACTTCTTCAGTTCATTGCTTGTAAACTTGATAGCTAGGTCAGGAGTCTAGGTTTGAATTGATAGTTGTTGGAAGATAGTGCTCTGGTCTTGGATAGTTGCTAGCAGTTCTAGAATGTGGTAGAAAATTAGGGATTAACAGTGTTGCCTCCCCAATCCAGGATTAGGACTTTGCTCGACAATCAATTTTGAAAAAACAAGTCAAAAGACTCAACAATTTCACTATATTCAAATCTCTAAATTATGAACAAAATCCTCATATAGGAGATACAAACATAACTTGCACAGAAACTAAGCCTATTATAATAATACTTCCTCATAAAATAATTCTTTCCTAGAATCCTTAACTTACACGAGGTAATGACTAAAAATCCAAAATGAGGATTAAACCGAATAACCAATAAAAGTATCCCAAATTCTATATCCATCATTATGTTTATGCACGAGGAATGCTGACATGGTAGTTAGAGAAACTGGATTCTGGAATTAGGTGCTGGATTGATTAGGAGTATTAATTGTCCTTAAAAAAGAAGGTGTTTAACAGTCTGGAGAAGTTGATGCAGTTTTCCCATATTTTGTAAGCATCAATGTATATACTCACAAGTGCAACTGTGCTGCAGCTGTCAGAGCTGGTGAATGTGGAAGGCTACAGTGAATGGATACAGTTGGTGGCGGAGTTCACTTTGAAGTCTTTACAGTCATGGCAGGTTGTTTGATGTGATTCCTTTGGAAATGCTTGTATTTATCCTTGTAAATGATGAATGATTTTTAGTTTCTAGTTAATTTTTGGATGAGATGTCTGAACACCGTTTACAATCCATGTTCAATTGATCTACTTTTGTTGTCCTTTCCTATTTTGACAGTGGGCCAGCAGCAGTGTGTACTATCTTTTAGGTTTGTGGTCGAGATTAGTAACATCTGTGCCATATCTGAAAGGCGATGCTCCAAGTTTGCTTGACGAATTTGTGCCTAAAATTACCGAAGGCTTTATTACATCAAGATTTAATTCCTTACAGGTACATTGGTTCTTTTCCTTCAAATTCTCGAGCCCATATCACCACCAATATGGTCTAATGAAGATGCTTGCTTTATCCCTTTGCCTTTTGTTCTTTAGGATGGGTTGCAGGATGATTCTTCTGATAATATGTTGGACAATGTCGAACTTCTTCAGGATCAGCTAGATTGCTTTCCTTACCTGTGCAGATTCCAGGTCCTGTCGCCATTTTGACATTCTTTAGCATTCATGTTCTCCTCTTTTCGTTTTTGGGATGCATATCATTTAGCTATTGATCTTTTGATTGTCAGCACTCCAGCTGAATGTTTCAATGGTATGCTATCTTCAAGCTGTTCACAGTTGTCGTTTTATGTTGTATGGCAGTATGAGAGAAGTGGTTCTTATATAATAAACACAATGGAGCCTATTCTCCAACAATACACGGTACATTGATTCATGATTTCGGAGTTTATGATAGATATGGGGACTGCCTTCATGTAAACTAATCTGATCATGTACTGTTAAATGACTGATACAGGAAAGAGCTCGACTGCAGACCTCTAACAATAAAGAACTTGCAGTTATAGAGGCAAAACTAGCTTGGATAGTACATATTATCGCTGCTATAATGAAGATAAAACAATGTACAGGCTGTAGGTAATTTTCTTCCTTATCAACGTTTTGTTCTTTCATTTCTGTTAATGAAATCAACAAATTTTTATAGCTTTTATCAACAATCTTTTGGCTATCTGTTTGCAGCACAGAGACTCAAGAAGTTCTTGATGCAGAGCTTTCAGCTCGTGTTTTACAATTAATTAGTGTCACTGATAGTGGACTGCATAGCCAGGTACTCCATTCGGCATGTCATTTGATGGGAACATAAAATTTTGGACAACCATATTATACCTGTGAACTGTGACTGTTTGACTTAACTATCGTTGTAGATTTGCCTACTTCTAATTCCTGTTGCTTTATTTGTATTAGTTTGATGTCTGATACATTACTTGGCTATAAGGAAAAGAATCCGGCACTTTTTTATTGTTGTCTTTGTCGTCATGCATATCTGTAGAGATACGGAGAGTTGAGTAAACAAAGACTGGACCGAGCAGTTCTGACGTTCTTCCAGCATTTTCGTAAGTCTTATGTGGGTGATCAGGCTGTGCACTCATCTAAGGTAAGAAGGTTTCCAGCAGCTTCAGTATAAAGCCTTAGAAGCTTCCGTTTTCGTGAGCTTTGTCTTTTCTTTTCAGCAGCTGTATGCCCGTCTATCAGAGCTTGTTGGACTTCCTGACCATCTTTTGGTATTGAATGTTATTGTTGGGAAGATTGCTACAAATTTGAAGTGCTATACTGAGGTAATTTCTTAGTTTGCACAGGGATGCTTTTCGATTATATACTTTGTTGTTATTGTTCTTCGTTATGCAATGGTCTCACTCTTTTGTGCGTGCTTCTACCAGAGTGAAGAAGTCATTGATCACACATTGAGTTTGTTCCTTGAGCTGGCATCTGGGTTAGTTTTTTTTACCTATATGATGGGAAAAGATGAGCAACTTGCACTGCTGTTAACTAATTGCATATACTAATTGATTGATGGCTCCTTTGTCGATTTCCATGCAGGTACATGACTGGAAAGCTGCTTCTGAAGTTGGATGCTGTTAAATTCATAATTGCTAACCATACTGTAGTTTCCATTCTCATATGCTTTTATCAATATTGTGTTTCATCATTATGAAGAATCATGAATCTAAACAACTTTTCTACACTTTTCAGAGGGACAACTTTCCTTTCCTTGAGGAGTATAGTTGTGCTCGTAGCAGAACAACTTTCTACTACATTATTGGCTGGTTGATATTCATGGAAGACAGCCCTGTGAAATTTAAGGCTTCTATGGAGCCACTTTTGAAGGTATTGTTTGTCAAACTCACTGTCTGTTTTAATGTATGTGGCTGTATCTCTGTCCTTCCATTTACAGTTGGATTATTTTTGTGAAATGGTTCTTATCTTTGCTGTATCTTTGTTTTCAATTCTTTGTTTGAATATACCTTTTGATACCTATGCAAAGCTTTGGATGTAATACGAGAATCGTGCCCCAATTGTATTTGCTTGTTTATTTGTTTTTCCCCGTGGACGCTTTTGTTAACTGTGTGTTAGTTTTTCTGCCAGAGCATTGAATGCTGACATGATTTTGTTTTGAGAGCTGGCTTTATGGCATGTTGGTTTCTTTCACATTCTAAGTTGTTCACAACAACTTTCCTTGTGGTGCATTAGGTTTTCCTCAATCTGGAGTCGATTCCTGAGCCAGTGTTTCGTACTGATGTTGTAAGATATGCTTTGATTGGCCTGATGAGAGATCTTAGAGGGATTGCAATGGCCACTAACAGGTCAGTACCTTGTTCTTATGATCCATTTAGAGTACAAGTCTTAATGCTCTTCGGTAGAAGTTAGACTGACCCCTTTTCGTTTGATCTCAGTCGTAGAACATATGGATTCTTATTTGATTGGCTATATCCTGCTCACTTACCCCTTCTCTTGAAAGGCATCTCAATTTGGGCAGATACGCCGGAGGTATGGATTTTTCTCTTAGTCCCTGTCTCATGTTTTGCAATACTTTTATTATTGGATACTATCCTGCTACTTGTTTCTGTAATTTTTCCTTGTATGGACTTTTTTCTGGCTTAAAATTGCTATTTAAAGGGTTATCTTGTTGGTCACTAAGCTTATTACTGTATGGCCTTCTTGGCAATGGATTGTTGTTTGCTTTTATGTTGTTCAGTATTTTTTAATGTTTAAACCGTTACATGCTAAAGGCTCGTGGATCCCTAAGCTTGTAACCTTTCCTTCTGAACCTAGTTGCTATACAGAGGTCTAATAATCCTTTGACTTAGACAAGAAGATGTAACAAATGCCAGTGCACTGGTCCTCGTACTAACATGCGAAAATTGAACTGGAAAAGCATACAAAGTGAATGTTTGCGAAATATGGAGTAATGAAAATCTTCAGTTATGCATGAAAAGGAAGTACAGGCTCTATGCTTGTAACCTATATTTTGTAGCAGTTTTAAACTTTGCTGTTAATATCAAGGTGATGTTTCTGCAGTATAAACTGAGGTGCTTATGTATATATGATCTAAGAATCGGAAATTATGATTGCTCTCTTTCATGACTTTCTTGTTCTGTATCGACTATAGTCATAAGCTGTGAAAGACTTTATGAACTTGTTCCATGTTCCAGGTTACCACTCCAATTCTTAAGTTCATGGCTGAGTTTGTTTTAAACAAGGCCCAACGGTTGACTTTTGATTCATCTTCTCCTAACGGCATTCTTCTGTTCCGAGAAGTCAGCAAGTTGATTGTTGCGTATGGTACTAGAATTCTTGCCCTTCCAAATTCTACTGCTAGGGCCATGTATGACTACAAGTACAAGGGAATATGGATTTGCTTAACTATTCTCTCAAGAGGTCAGAAGATCCATCTCCTATTTTGACAATTGCTAGGGGCCAGATACTGCTGATGAGATTATATGTTTTTGTTCTGGTTCTAGTTTGCGCTCATGTTTGACTATTTGCTGAAGGTTGTTGATATGTCACTTTGAAATAAGTGGGCTGAATGAAGTTAGTATGTAGCATGGACTTGTGAAGTTTTAGTTTCTCTTTATCCGTAGAGAGAATTTTGGTTTTATTAAGTGGGCTGAATGAAGTTGTTGATATGTCACTTTGAAATAAGTGGGCTGAATGAAGTTAGTATGTAGCATGGACTTGTGAAGTTTTAGTTTCTCTTTATCCGTAGAGAGAATTTTGGTTTTATTAAAGGTTCTTCTGGGTTATTTAATGTTCCCAAACACATTAACGTTTTATCATTTTAAGAGAGAAGGGGATTTGGCTGATTTGAGCTGTTGTTTGTCTTGTTTCTTGCCGTGGCATCTTTTTTTCTTAAGCACCTTTTAAGTTTTTAGTTCCATACTTTCTTTTTTAACGTAAAACTAACTTTCTTCTTGGAATTCTTCTTGCAGCTCTTTCAGGAAACTATGTCAACTTTGGTGTCTTTGAGCTGTATGGTGATAGAGCCCTTGCTGATGTTCTTGATATAGTGCTAAAGATGGCACTTTCAATTCCTACGTCAGAAATATTTGCATTTAAAAAGGTACTGAAGCCTTAATCTTTGGAAGTCAGATATTCTGAAGTGGGTTCTTTTAGTATTCAGTCCTGGTTTCTCTCCCTCTCTTGTGTAAAAAGCTTCTTAATGTCCAACTCCAGCAAGCCTTGCATTTGTGGTTCTAAGTATCATATTGCTGGTTTTGTCAATGGGGCATTTGATATCTGGTAGTCCCCAGGCACAAAATTTATGTACCTTATCATACATAGTTGATGAATGGGATTTGTTAAAATGCTGGGATTGTACCATGTTGAAGATACTCTTCCACAGAGCAAAAGGTTTATCACTTGACTGAAGAAATACTGGTTTCTTTGGGAACATCCTGTCCAGTTTACTATCTGTTTGTTGCTGCTGCATTGAATTATGGATGACTTTTAATTGCAGTTGCATTATGTTTTTTTGGCCGGAACTGAAGTTGCATTATCAAACTTGTTTAACGACCCACAATCTTTTTTGCGTTTCTGGTCGATGGAAAAGCAGTAGTTTGACTGATGTCAAGTAATATCCCAAAATGAATGCTATTCTCTATGTAATATTGTTCATCTTGAGTCAAAAGTTTATCCTACCTAATAAGGTGTACCGTTTGGCAATTTTTATTAGCTCCTGACAGTTGACACACTTTTTGCACCTCATGGTTGTTGGTAAAATAGGCCCAATTTAGACTTACCTCTTTGCACCTATTAACATAATCGTGTTATGTTTGATGGTGTGTCTGCAGCTACAGAAGGCTTACTTTGGATTTTTGGAAGTTCTTTTCTGCAGCCATCTATCTTTCATACTCAATCTTGACACCAATACCTTCATGCATATTGTCGGCTGTCTTGAATCTGGTCTTAAAGGTCTTGATAGCAACATTTCATCACAGGTTTGTCTCCCTGCAGTTATCTTTACCCTTCTTCTTTTTCACTTGCACTAACCTTCTGTTTTCATGTGCGTTAGTGTGCATCTGCTGTCGATAATTTGGCTGCTTTCTATTTCAACAACATCACAATGGGGGAGCCACCCCTGCTACCTGCTGCAGTCAATCTTGCTCGGCACATTGCAGATTGCCCCAATTTGTTTCCAGAAGTAAGTAGAGTATTCTTGTAATAAGATAAGTGCCTGCTGCTTGCCTGTGTTAGATAAACTAGTTATTTGATATTGCCTAGACATAAATATTGAATGGACATTGTTTAGAGAATTTTGAATATGACACATTATCTAGGTGGATGTGAATGAGATCTCACCCGAAATTGCAGCACTAAGATCTTGTCAAACTGTCAATTAGGGTCCTTTTTGTTTGTAACTTTGCCATATGAAAGCATTATTCGTTTTTTTTATCCTAATGTCATCGTGCATTCATGATTCCTAACCTGTTACGAATACACATGGCTAGAGCTATTATTAGTGAAGGAATTTGAACTTATGGGTGAAACGTTGCCCTAAACCCTAATTTTTCATTTCTCAATTTTCCTAACCTGCGTATGTGCATTCTTGTCAATCTCGTGCTGATGGTTTGTTAATGTTTTTTTTTTATTTGAAAATTTTGTTAATGCTTGTGTTAAATATATCTGCAGATACTGAAGACCCTGTTTGAAATTGTTTTATTTGAGGACTGTGCCAACCAGTGGAGTCTTAGCAGACCTATGTTGAGCTTGATACTTATCAATGAGCAGGTAATGATAAAAAAAATATTCTCTCACTAAAATCTTCTTTTAGAACTTTGATTCTCTCCGTCATCTTCAAAACTTGAGAGGCAGGTTTAGTTAGGGCAATGCAAATTGTCCCTCGACAGAGTCTTGAAAAGTTCAATAGATCAGTGGAAGTTCCTTGTTCAGCATAGATCAAGTGCAGTATAGCCTGCTTTACGTGAATTTTGGAACTTTTAGAACATAAATTGGTCTTAGTTAATTAAACTGCCATGAGCTTTCTCAATAAGATGTAACAAGCTCGTTTTGTGTCTTTCTTGATATCAAGCACTGTGGTTGGAAAAGAGAAGCCTTGTTCCCCCAGAATTTGCATGACTATTCTGTCTTGCCAATCTGGCTGACCTCAATTTTCATCTGGTTGCGGGGATTCCTTTCATCTAACCTGCCTTTTCCTGCTAATATAGTTTCATTTTCCTGTTTTGGGAGATATTCTCTCCGTCTCTTTTTCCCCAAGCTGGGTGTGACTATTATTTGAAAATAACATGGATTAGCTTATGAGAATGATATGGAGAGTTCTTTGTCTGTCTTTCTAGAAATTTCGGACGTAAAATGTTCCTCTATGAATGTGCGTCTTGTGACTCTTGGTAGATTTCTAATTCTTTGTTATTCCAAAAGAACTTAATTGCTTATATCCCTATGAGTATGTGATGAAATCTGATGCAATGGTTTGAAGTTTGTCAAAGATGTAAATTAGAAAATCTGATGTCCACATCGACTGCTATGCGGTCATCAGCCCTATAGATAACCAGGGAATCATAATTTTTTGTTCTTTTTGTGCCCACGTAAAGATTTCCTACTGTTGTACTTCCATTTTAACCAATATGGTTCCTTTGCAGTTATTCTCTGATTTGAAGGCTCAGATTTTGGCATCACAGGTAACTTACCTTCTTCTCTAATGCTAGGAGTATTCCTTTTTGTGGCCAGCTGATTGGTACTGATATTTTTTTGGTAATGCATATAGTTATCTGCTTCTACGACCGTAGACCTGTGCCGTGGTATTGGTTCATTTTTGTCGGAGCGCTCTTTTAAGCACATCTCTGCAAATTGTAATCCATTTTCTTATGTTTTGCAGCCAGTGGATCAACACCAGCGGCTGTCTCTTTGTTTCGACAAACTTATGGCTGATGTTACGCGAAGCTTAGATTCGAAGAACAAGGACAAGTTCACCCAAAACTTGACGGTGTTCAGGCACGATCTCAAGAACAAAAAATAAGTTGCAGTCTCCCAGTATCCATGCCTGTCATGCTCAAGGCTATACTTTAAATTCCCAAAGAAAAGGGCCTTCCTTTAAAGTTGGAGTTGATGGGGGGATGAGATCAGATCGAAAGATCCGTTGTTGGTCGGGGCAGTGTCCATGTCTCGGAAGCTGCCTAATAGCATCAGGATGAGCATGGTGTATGCAAATTTTATGCTGTACAGATTCTCCTTTTAGGCTCCTTGATGTTTTGTTTGTTGTTGGGGGTGGGTGTTGTTCCATGGACCATGATGATTAAAAGGAAAAGAGAATGTTAGATTTATGTAGGGATGATTTTAGCTAGCTAGGGTTCAGGAGGAGGGAGGGAGGGTGGGTGTTTGGGGAAAGGGTTTGGTTGTTTTGCCCTTAGATTTTAGACGAAGGGTATGGTTTTGCATACTGCTAGACAGCTAGAGTAACAATTCTTTTATAAACCCTAATAGAAAAATGGAAATGAGTAGGGAAGAAAGAAAGAAAGGATTGGGGTATGGGGGTTTGTGGGTTGCAAGGGGTGTGGTTTGGCCTATAATTGACAGGATTGGGAGATGGGATGCCTGTGGTTTGGAATTGGGAGGATGAGTTTGCCTCAACTCAGCTCAGGTATATTTTTTTGAAGGGTTCTCTCTATGCCTGTAGTTAATTATTCTTTGTATTAATTAATTAGTAGCTGATGATGCGAAGAATGGAAAGCCTTCATTTTCACTCGAGCTTTGAATGCCTGGTTATCTGGTCTTCAACTGGTTTGTGCTTGTCCTTTCATGTTCGTTGCCTGGGACGGGATGTATGGCGCACAAAAACGATATTTGTAATTTGATTCCATTTGACAGCACGTAGCTAGCTCATGTGGAGGCTCATATATGAATGTACCTTTCCACAGGGGAGTAAGCTTGGCTTTAGAGATTTCCCGATCTGCTTGATGCTGAGGGCCGGGCCGGGTTGGGTTAGTTTGTCTATTGGGTTAGTTTATTTTTACCCTATAAAGGGTACACATGGTTGGTTACAGTATAATAATTATTATGCAAGAAATTTTTTTATAGGTACTAAAATATAATTTATCTTCAAAATTTCTGGACCTATTTGTAAACAAAATTAATTTACTAAATTTTAAGAAAAAATAAATTCAAATACGAAAATGTTATTTTCTATTTTTCTAAAACTTAATTTGTTAATTTTTGCTGACCCATTGGCCAGGCTTGCGATACGATCAGTAACTACTTGGTTACTGACCTGTCAGTAATAAATAGGGACCGTAAATCTAAGGGCGCAGCCATCGTGCATGCTGGGCTAGACGCGAAGTGTGGAGGGGCATTTTTGTTTGTTTATAAATTTCAATTTATTTTCTTCAATTTACCCAACATTTAAGGGTTGACTTTTCAATGGAGGAGAGAGAAATATTATTTTCTTTGCAACTTTCTCTTTCCCATTCTCTTTCTCCATATCTAAATTTCTTTTTCTTCATTTTTTTCTCCTTTCTCTTTCTCTCCTCCTTGCTCTCTCCCAATCTCGTTCTCCATATCTAGATCTGCTTCTATTCTTTTTTTCTCTCCATCAATCGTTGAAGAAAAATTGCAGCCTCCCTCTTTCATTGCGCTTTTCTCTTCATCAAATCGTTGGCATCAACTCCTATCTTCTTCCTTTTTTTGGCATTTTAGTGTTTTTGATTGCGAAAGAGGAAATGAGGAGACGGAAGACGATTTTTTTTCTCTTTCCCTCCTTCTGTTTTTTTTCTTTTAGGTAATATATATTGATATTACCACACTATACCATACAGCATTTTGTTGTAACAACATATATATTGATATTACCACATTATAACATATGGTATTGTATGGTATTGTGTGACATTATCACACTATATCATATGGTATTGTGTGATAACGAAATATATATTGATATTACCACACTATATCATATGATATTGTGTGGTAACGAAATATATATTGATGTTACCACACTATACTATATGGTATTGTATGATATTATGTGCAGTGGCGTAGCCAAAATTCGAGTTTAGTGGGGTCCCATTTACGAAAAATCTTATAATATTGTATTCAATTATAAGTAAATTTTTTAAAAAAATACTCAGTCAAGTAGTCATTCGTCAAACCATTAGTTATTAGATTTGTACCTTACATTTTGTGTAACTCATAACTAGCTAAAAAAATAGTTCTCAAGCCAAATCTAATACACACAAACGTTTTATAAAATACATTTGATGACAAAGAAATTGTATATTGATAGGAAATTTTTTATTGAACTAAGAGCTTTTCAAATATAGCTGGAGGTTTTTGTACACATATTTTGTAGAATTAGATATTTTTAGAATAAGAACTATAAAATTGTGGATTTCAAATGATATATGACCAATATATCATACAACACCACATTATAACATATGGTATTGTATGGTATTGTGTGACATTATCACACTATATCATATGGTATTGTGTGATAACGAAATATATATTGATATTACCACACTATACCATATGATATTGTGTGGTAACGAAATATATATTGATGTTACCACACTATACTATATGGTATTGTATGATATTATGTGCAGTGGCGTAGCCAAAATTCGAGTTTAGTGGGGTCCCATTTACGAAAAATCTTATAATATTGTATTCAATTATAAGTAAATTTTTTTAAAAAATACTAAGTCAAGTAGTCATTCGTCAAACCATTAGTTATTAGATTTGTACCTTACATTTTGTGTAACTCATAACTAGCTAAAAAAAATAGTTTTCAAGCAAAATCTAATACACACAAACGTTTTATAAAATACATTTGATGACAAAGAAATTGTATATTGATAGGAAATTTTTTATTGAACTAAGAGCTTTTCAAATATAGCTGGAGGTTTTTGTACACATATTTTGTAGAATTAGATATTTTTAGAATAAGAACTATAAAATTGTGGATTTCAAATGATATATGACCAATATAGTCTACTTTATTTGCGTGTTTCTTTTTTTTTTTATGAATAAGACTTTCCATTTCATCAAAAGAAAAGAGGTGCTGAAAAAAACCTTGCCAGCTAGGTTAGCCCTTCCATCTGGGCAGTACAGCAAAATAAACCCACAGATAAAAACACTAGACTATCTATTTCACCTCCAATAAAGCTATCCAATCATCGAGAAGAATCAGCGTCCGAGATCCAGAATTTTGCAGCTTCTTCCTCCTGCAACAGCACCACAATTTCACTTCGGATTACCTTGATCAAACCCTCAGTACTACGAATCTTCCCTTCATACATTCTAATGCAACGTTCTCGCCATACATGACTAATCATGGAATGCCATATGATCCTCCCATACCCCCTGCATCCATCTTTTTCTTCCCAAACTCTCTTGTGGCCCATTGCAATCCATCTTCCCAGTCCCTTGGCATGAATCCAGAAAACCCCCCCAACAAATCATGGAAAAGCTTTCTGAAAAACTCACATTGAGAGAATAAGTGATCTCTACTTTCAGGCATCTGATTACAAAGACAACATAAATCTGAGCCTGCATAACCCCACTTCTTCATTTTCTCCTTTGTCTAGATCCTATCCTTGATGATAAGCCAGACAAGGAAACGATTTCTAGGAATAGAAGGAGGCAACCAAACCAAGCCGCCACTGTCAACTTGCCTGCAATCAGTAATACTCCTAAGTAACGCACAGGGAAATTTCCCAGCTGATATCCAAATCTATTGGCTCTAACAACCATCTCATCCTCTGCCATTCCACCAAAATATACCTCACATTTTCTTGAATTAGACTTCAGACCAGATAAACGATAAAATTCAGCTAACACGGTCTGCACACTCTGTAAGCCACAGTTGGAGCCATCCGAGAACACCAGGAGGTCATCCGCGAAACATAAATGAGTTAGTCTAATCTTCTTACACATTGGTTGATAAGGAAAGTAGCCCCTCTCTGCTGCTCTATCTATAAGACAAGTAAAAATTTCCATAGCAACCACAAACAAATATGGAGATATAGGATCTCCCTGTCTCAACCCTTGCTTAGAAGGAAAATAACCTACCAACCCTCCATTGAAAGATATACTCAACATAGGCTCAGTCACACACATTTTAATCCAGTCAATGAACTCAGCTGGGATCCCCATTGCTTCAAGCACATTAAACAGAAAAAGCTAGTTGATAGAGTCAAACGCTTTCATAAGATCAATTTTAAGCGCGGATCTATATGAAACATTCTTCCTTGCATATTTTGAGATCTATAGGCCTAAATTTTTTCATTTTCTCAGGATTTGGAATCTTTGGTATTAAAGCAAGAATAGTGGCATTTACCTCCTTAGGTATCCTCTTTGTAGCAAAACAATATTGTACTGCTTCCACTATATCAGCACCAATAGTCTCCCACGCATACTGAAAGAATCGAGCATTATAACCATCTGGCCTTGGACTCTTATCCCCCTTCATTCCAAATATAGCTTCTTTAACCTCAGCTTCTGTGCTAGGAGCACATAATGAAGCAGTTTGCAAAGGAGTTACTGTCTGCTTAAGGATAGACTTAAAAAACTCTACAGTACCACCCTCAACCTCAGTATTAACCTGTCCCAGTAGTTTTTTTTTATAAAAATTCACTGCCACCTCACACATATCCTCCACCCTAGTTACTCTGTCACCATTATCAGATAGAAGACTTGTGATAGTGTTCCTCTTCTGCCTCGTTCTCACAGATCTATGAAAGTAATTAGTGTTTGAATCACCTCCCTTCAGCCAAATTTCTCTCGACTATTGTCTCAAGAAAGATTCCTCAGCCTTCATTAATGTGTGCAATTCCCTAGCTAGTTTCACTTCCAACCCAGCCAAGTCAGGGGCACGATCAGCTAAAGTTAGTTCCTGGACTTCCTCCAGCTCACACTCCTTATCTTTAACTCTCTGCCTTATATCTGAGTATTCCTCTCTATTAAGAGCTTTGAGCAAACCTTTTAGTATACATAACTTCTTATAAACTCTGCCCATAGGAGACCCTGATACCTGCTGAGACCAAGCCTCTTCCAGCAACTCCCCAAATCTTGGATGCTCCAACCAGAAGTTAAAAAACTTAAATGGTTTAGGCAATGATTTCAGAGGCACCTCTGTTTGAACCAGAACTGGGCAATGATCAGAGACCCCAGGCTTTTGCATATGAACTGTAATCTCCTTAAAAACATCCAACCATGCCAAATTGACAAACGCCCTATCCAAACACCTAGCAATTGGATTGTTAGCTTGTCTATTTAGCCACGTAAACCATGGACCAGTGGACTTGTGCTCCTAAAATTCCATTTCTGTGAGCCATTCATTAAAATCAGCCATACTGCAGAATGTGCTGGGTTGTTCGACCCCTCACTTGGATCCCTAATTGCATTGTAATCCCCCATTAATATCCATGGCCTATGCTGCACCTTTACCCCAGCAATCTCCCTATACATCTCACGTCTTCCACCTTCTAGGTTAGAGGCGTAAATAAAGGTAGCAAAGAAAGGCCCTGTATCTCCCACCATAACATGGACAAACGGCTAAGAGAATCCCAGAACTTGCAACTTAACATCCTTCCTCTAGATCAACCACAACTTCCCCAGACCATTGTCATTATAAAAAATCTTCTCCTGCCAACCCACAAATCTCTTCTTCAACATCTTCTTCTCATCAGATAGCTTTACCCGAGGCTCTAATACTATTACTATATCAATAGTATACTTTTTTATTTTATTAAGTAATGTATTATACTTACTATCATCTACAAACCCTCTAGTATTCCATGATAATATTCTCATTAACGATATCTACCCCTTCCTCCACCTCTACCCCCTTTCCTCTTAACCTCAAGAGGATCAATCCAAATTTCTTCCCCTTATTTACTACACTAGGGACCTTATTCTCCTTATCAAGAACACTCAAACCGAGAGCCTGAAAGTACTGTAGCCCGAGCAGTGACCTGAGTTTTTAAACTCCCTTCCATAGAAGGTGATTGAAAGCTCTCAAGCT